CCATTCCCCACTAAAAATAACCTAAGCTCACTGGAGAAATGACTTATTCTAGGACTGAGGCAGGGAAAGTATTATACAAGACAAACTTGGAACATTTTGTACCAGGAAAGGAAGGAAGTAGTCAAAGAATGATGAGGCCATCTCAAAAGGACATAGGATTCAGTTAAAAGAAACACTCACAGACCAAATTTGGGTCAATTTGCACATCAAAGAAAATGACAGAACTGAATTATAAAACACTTAGTTTAAAAAAGAATCATGAGTCCATAGTGATACTCACATTTAAAAAGGGGTATGAGAGGACAGAAAACTCTTCTTTAGGGAAGACTGGCAGCAACTTATAAGTGTGACATGATAAGAAGTAAATTTTTGGTAATCCTAAAGCAAAAGTCCTCTCTAGCTATGAATCCATGCAATCAGATAAGTCATGTGTTTCCAAAATATAATGGTAGGTAGGACAGGCATAGAATAGACATTCCCAGCCGGGCTCGGTGGCTCAGCCTGTAATCCCGCGCCTTTGGGAGGCTGAGGTGAGTGGATTGACTGAACCTGCGGGTTCGAGACCCGCCTGGGCAGCGAGACCTCATCTTTACTATAAAAAAAAAAAAAAATCAGCGGGGTGTGGTAGAGCACGCCTGTAGTTCCAGCTACTCGGAAGGCTGAGGCGGAAGGATCGCCGGAGCCCAGCAGGTCGAGGCTGCGGTGGCCAGGAGTGGCCACTGCACTCCAGTCTGGGTGACAGAGTGAGACTCCAACTCAAAAAAAAAAAGAAGAGACATTCCCATTCTGAAAAGAAGAAATAGGGAGAAGAAAAAAAAAAAAAGATGATGGGTCCCAAGCAAGTCCAAACCCAAGCAAGTCCAAACCCAAGCAAGGAGAATTCCATTAGACCTAATCCTCTTTGGCTTTACTATCTATCCACTCCCTCAGCTTTTCAGGAGATGAGACTCTGCAATGGTCCAGCCCTTTTACACAAAGAAGGAACGGCCTTGCCCCCAGGCCTGTGTTAAGGGTGGCAGTCCTAATGATCTCTGAATTGCTTTGAGGGTCATGCTCCCCCTTCCTTGAAAAATAGCACACATTGACAGTCAAATAGCTGTGAATCCAAGAAGTCCAATAGCCTTCATTCACTTCCCTCCTCTTGCATTTTATTATAAGCAGTAAGGGAGAACCATGCCACTTCTTCAATACTGTGCTTAGAAATCTCTTCTAAATATACAATTTAATTGCTCTCAGGTTCTACCTTCCACAAAACACTAGAACACAATTCAGCCAAGTTCTTTACCACTTTATAACACAGATCACCTATACTCCGGTTATTTCCTTATTACTATTACTAATTATTTCTATCTGAGACCTCACCAGAATAGCCTTTACTGTCCATATTTCTATCAACATTCTGTTCGTGATTACTTATGCATCCTCTAAGATGGAAGGAAATCTTCTCTCTAACTCTCTTCTTTCTGAGCTTTCACCAATATCACTTTTAATATTCAAATTTCTAACAATAATCCTTCATAGAAATCTCATCTCAAAACTCAAAACTCTTCCAGCCTCTACCTGTCACCCAGTTCCAAAGCCACTTCCACATTTTTAGGTATTTGCTTCAACAGCACTCCATGTATCAGTACCAACATTTGTAATAGTCTGCTCAGGCTGCCATAACAAGATACCTCAGACTAGGTGTCTTAAACAACAGAAAATTATTTCTCATAGCTCTGGAGGCTGAAAAGTCCAAGATGAAGGTCCAGGTCGATCCAATTCCTGGTGCAGGCTCTCTTCCTGGGTTGCAGACAGTCATCATTTTGCTGTGTTCACACATGGCGGAGAGAGTGGGCTCTGGCATTCTTTCTCTTCATTTAGGGGCACTAGCCCTATTGAATTATGACCTTGTTTAAGCTTTATTACCTCCTCATAGGTCCTGTCTCCAAACATAGTCATATTGTGGGTTGGGCTTCAACCATATTATGGCAGGGCATGTGTGCCACAGCAATCAGTCTTAAATTATATATATATATTTATATGCATATTTGTACAAATACACACACACACACACACACACACAGAGTGAGAGTTTTACATACAATAGACACTTGAACAACACAGGCTTAAACTGCATGTGCCCACCCCTGCATGGATTTTTTTCACCCAAACGCAGATTGTAAATATAGTATTTGTAGGATGCAAAACCTGCAAAGGGCCAACTTTTTCTTTAACCAGGTTGTGCAGGGTCAACTGCAGGATTTGAGTTTGCACAGATTTTAGTATATGCAGGGGTCCTGGAACCAATCCCCCAAGTACACCAAGTACTAATTTTTTTACTTCAAAGTTTAATAAAATGTTTCCTAGCTGGGCTCAGTGGCTCAGCCTGTAATCCTAGCACTTTGGGAGGCCGAGGTGAGTGGACTGCCTGACCCTGTGGGTTTGAGACCAGCCCGGACAACTTGGGGAGACCTTGTCTCTACAATAAATCAAAAGTTAGCCAGGCGTGGAAGCATGCGCCTGTAGTTCTGGCTACTTGGAAGGCTGAGGCAGTTGATGCTGGGGTGACCATGAGTGTGCTATTGCACTCTAGCCTGGGTGACAGAGTGAGACTCCAACTCAAAAAAATTAAAAAAACAAAAACAAAACAAAAAGTTTCCTATTATACAAATTATACTTTAAATAAATGCATGATATTCAATTTTATGAGTATCATTATTTACTGTTCTTTTATTATGTCATTTTCAAATTTTACTCTTTAAATGATTCTATAATGACCATTTTTATTCATATATCTTTGTCTACTGTGATAACTTAGGATAAATTTCCAGAAATTCAATTGTTGAGTCAGACTATTAATATTTTAAAGGTTCTTGTTACATATTGCTAAACTGCTTCCCAGAAACCTGTGTTAATATATACCCTTATCTGAACTAAACATTATAGTTAGGATAAAATATTTTTCTAATTGAAAAAAAATCAGTGTCATAAATAACCAAAAAGGCGGCCGGGCTCGGTGGCTAAGCCTGTAATCCCAGCACTTTGGGAGGCCGAGGTGAGTGGACTGCCTGAGCCCGTGGGTTCGAGACCCGCCTGGGGAACTTGGCGAGACCTCATCTCTACAATAATTCAAAATATTAGCCGGGCGTGGTAGCGCGCGCCTGTAGTTCCAGCTACTTGGAAGGCTAAGGCGGAAGGATCGCCAGAGCCCAGCAGGTTGAGGCTGCGGTGGCCGGGAGCAGCCACTGCACTCCAGTCTGAGCGACAGTGAGACTCCAACTCAAAATAAATAAATAAATAAATAATCAAAAAGGCAAGGCTTGCTTTTTATTATTAAAGGAGATTAAAGAGTCAGGACAATAAATGAAATCTGTAGTTACTGATTAGACTGTATATGAGGAACCAAATGGCTATGAAAGTATTTTGGGCACAACTGGCAAGTTCTTAATATGGGTTGTATTTTAGATAATATTATTGTATTAGTGTTAAATTCCTTAATTTTGATAATAGTATTTTGGTTATGCAGACTGTCCTAGTTCTTAGGAGAAACATGATGATGTGTTATGAAGTAAGCAGCTTACATTCTAATGATTCAGAAAATATGTGTGCATGTTTTTGTGTATATGTAGGCAGAGAAAGAGACAGAAATATGAGAGGAAAACAAGAGGGAGAGGAAGGAAGAAAGAAATGTGGTATAATGTTAATCATCAAATCTAGTAAAGGGTAATGAGTGCTCACTGTTCTGTTCTTTCAACTTTTCTATAGATTTAACATTTTTCAAAATAAAAATTATGAAGGAGCAAGCAAAAGACAAGAATGAGCTACTCTTAGAAAAATAAAATAGCCTATAAACATATGAAAAATGTATGAGAATTAACAAATTTGCTGATTACGTCTTTCGATTTCCTCCTGCCCCCTTGGCATTTGCTTTTTAATAACTTCCACTGCAATTCATCAAATGGGATCAGAAAGAAATAGAAAGTGAAAAATCTCAATCATTTCATTTCATTTATCTTTAGTAGTCCTGGAAAAAAAATTTAAAAGATTTTAAAATAAAAATTAACTCATTACAATGAGTTTTGGAAAGGACCTATAGAGTTTAATTCCCAACCTGGTTTTCAATTTAGATTCTTTTGACCTCTTATGGGCCTAAATGTTTGACCCTAAACAGCATATTCCAAAAATAGTCATTAACAAATCTATAAAAATAGGTTTTCTTTAAATAAAGAAAAAGAAATTGGCCTCTGTCATTGGTCTTACTTTTATCAGAAAGTGGTCCAAAGAATGTACAGAATAGAAGGCAAACAATGGATTTACAACAAAACAATATGAAGGATGTAGCATAACACAGTGGTTCAAGGAATGGGCTATGAAGTCAGGTTGTCTGTGTTTTAATATTTACTTCATCACTTACTAGCTATGTAATTTGTTGAATTACTCAATCTCTTTATGCCTTGGTTTCTTTATCTGAAAAATGGGGAAAACAGTAAAATCTTTGTCTTAGGGTTGTTGTGAAGATTAAATAAGTCAGTACATTTAAGTTCTTAGAACAACATCTGGGACACTGTTAAGAGCTCAATAGATGTTAGCTGCTATGGTTATTATTATTACTAGTATTATTATGACAACTGCTACCACCATCTTCAACCTGCAGTTGATGAATTTTAGCATTTGTTTCAGAAAAACTATAGCATCCTAAAGAAGCATAACATGCACACACGCACATATGCACACAACACACATCTACCCCCACAAACTAAAAAAGTGAAATAGATCAGATTTTAAGTCAGTCCTTTAGTGTGTCCTCAAGCTGTTTGGAGAGAAGAGGGTAGCAATATACCAACAATGCATGGCTCATTTCAAGAAGGATTCTGTGTGATGTGGACAAATTAAGCTGAGGAGAAATAACAAGTTCTCTCAGTTAATCATTTATCAAATTTTATTGATAATAAAATCAGTTGTAAAGCCAGACACCATGAATACAACATGGAAGAATGTCTATGCCTTTAAAACATGTGTGTTTTTGTCAAAGAAATATACATAGATTATGATATTATAATAGGTCATATAATACATGTATGCACAGGGTATAATGGAAGCACACAGAGGAGAGACACCTAAGCCAGACTTCAGGGAAGAAGGAAACAGCAGAAAGATTTCCTGGAGTGGTGCTATTTAAAGTAAGCCTTAAAGAATAATAACATGTAAACAGGATAGAGCGGGTAACACTCATTGCCCTAGGAGTAAAAGCTAGCAAATGGAAAAAACAGATGAGTACCACTACCCTGCCTACAGTCACACAAAACCAAAAAGATTTCCTCCTAAAACTAATGAGCAGATAGCCATTGGAGGTATGTGCTCAAGCACGTGTGCTTCTGGAATATCTTCTATTTACATATATTACATCTCTAGCCTTCCCACTCAAAATAAGCCACGTTTGGAGAAGGGACAAAGCTGCAATTAAGAGAGGTTCAGAGACAAGTTTCTCACTTACAACACTGGGCGGCAGCAGTGGGCAATGGCGTCCTCTGGCTTCCTTCTTGCACAGAATACTAGAAGCAGAAAGAAGAAAAAAATATATAATAAGAAGTTCAAGTAAAGAGAGAGAAAAAATCACAGATACCTATAAAAAGATTTAGTGTTTGCAGTCAAAACTTTTATTGAACAGAAACAGAACACCCTGCTGCTATTTCCCCTGTGTGATCCTGAAATACAGGCCAGACTATCAGTTATGGCCTTGGCCCAATGAGACTAGTGAAGAGGCTGTTCTGACTAAGGGCAGGTGAGTACCCACCCAGCTCTGCCAGGCAGCTATGTAGAAGGCTTGGCTGTAGAAGCCTAAGAAGATTTCACAGCTCTCTGAGTTTTCCGGTGGGCAATATATAGATATCCCCATTCAGGTGATAGAACTGAAAACCTCTCTGAGGCTGAGTTTTTTCATCTTGAAGTAATAGAGATTTTTCCATCACACTGTCAAATGGGAATTGAAATTGCTTAATCTAAGCATGTGCTGCAATATCTGGTATCTACCAGAGCTCCCTTCCCACTTACACTCTAGTCTCTGCCATCCCTCCCACCCACCCCCCACCACCACCAAAACAAATATAGGCTATTGAGCCATAAGAAAATGTTATACAAAAGGCAGTAGAATGAAGAGCAAGTCTTGAGTATGGGCAGGATTTACAAAAGAGAAAGGCATAAACAAATTAACAGAAGTACACAGAGTCGGGAAAACATTGAAACTATTTTGGGGTGCCTGCATAATGAATATTTGTATACTTAACCCTGATTTGTACCCCACATCTTTAAAATCAAAAAAAATTTTTAAAAGAGTGAATAGTTTGGATCAGAGCCCATTGGGGGGACTAGAAAAATATAACCGGGCCTAGCAACTTGCAAACATAAGATTTGAAGTTCTCATCTTGACCCTCTACTTATTAATAAGCTGTGAGATCCTAGGCAAATCAGAGCTTCTCTAAAACTGGTAATGAATAAGTCATTTATACATTCAACAACTATTGATTGAGTACCCACTACGTGCAGGACCTTATTCTAGGCACTGAGAAAATAAAGTTTGTAAATTACTATAAGGAGTCTGGATTTTATTCTAGTGGATTGGAAAGCCATTGAGTGTTCTAAACATGAGAGAGATATGACTTAATTATGCTTTTAAAAGGTCATGCTGCTATATGAGATGAACTGTAGGGAACAAGGGGGTAAATAAACTAATTATTGCAATAATCCAGACTAAAGTTGATGGTAGTATACATAAGACTCATGACTGCTAATGGAGGGCAATTCAAACAGTTGGATACAAAGTACAAACATTTTTTGTGCATACTTGTATATGTAATATACAAGTATGCACTGTTAAAGTTCATAACTTGAAGGTTCATATGTAGGAGACTCACTGTACCTAGACATAACAGTGAGAAAATGCCAAAACTTTAAGTAATAAATTAGAAGAATACAGACTTAAGTGATCAGAGCAAATAATTTTAGAAACCATATGTAATAAATCTGCTTCAAATCCAAAATAGAAAGTTGAAGTCCAACTAGAGTATATTTAATAATGTTAGGATAAGCCAGGCTCAGTGGCTCAGCCTGTAATCCCGCGCCTTTGGGAGGCTGACGTGAGTGGATTGCCTGAGCCTACAGGTTCAAGACCTGCCTGGGCAACTTGGTGAGACTTCATCTCTACAATAAATCAAAAAATGAGCCGGGCGTGGTAGCGCACGCCTATAGTTCCAGCTACTTGGAAGGCTGAGG